GCGCAGGAGCGGTTGTAGCACTCGCGGTGGTGGTCCCAGGCTGGCTAGCCATGGTCTGGTGGTGGCTCAACGTCGTCGAAGAACCCAACTTTGCACCCGTGGCGCCGTTCGAGGTGCCGTTTGGCACACCGACAGGTACCATGGGACCCGGGGAGATGGTATGTTCACGCACCATAGGCGGCGAAGCAGGAACGGTGGAGGTGGCGTCGCGACCCGCCGAAAACGGGTTGAAGCCAAGATCGTCCATTTCGGTCACCGGAGAGGTCAAATCGAGGATTTCAACCTCCATGTCGTCGGAATTCGTCTCACATGTCCCGTTGGTAGGTGGTGAAAATGCATCCATGGCCTGCACCATAGAATTGGTGCCGGCGGCTACAGTAGTGGCGAGCAAGGGGGCGTTAGCTTTAGCGCGGGTAGATACCATAGTGAACCCAAGTAAACAAGTGTCTTGTATGAGGCAAAATAGGAATGGGGATTAGCTCAGTGTCAAATAGGACTATATTAGGTGTTTTCCTAATACTAATATTGCCCAATGGGCTCATCCAATGCCTAATGCCTATGCAAATGCATGTGCCTAGGGCGGCACTGGTTTTCAGAGGTTTTGAAATAAATACGTAGAGGTATCAAGAAATATCGTGATTGGGAGAGCCATGTGTTGCGGTACACTGTGTGATGGCCGCGAGGGTGATGGGTATCGGAACGTTCGTGGAACAACGCAGTGATGATGATGGACACCATGCGGTCTTAAAACGCTCTGGTAGTTAGTTAGACTTGGTATGTGCTTGACGTCTCATAGCACACGGGTCCACGCTAATGGCGCTGATCGGTCGCAGAGGTCGGCGCAAGGAGCAGCGTGTAGGGGTACTTGGTCCACAGCGGTCGGTAAGGCGATTGGACGCGGAGGACTTCGAGGACAGAGGAACGGAGAGGGCAGTCGGGGTCTTGTAGGCGGAGCCATCGGCGGACAGACATCGTCCAGCCAAGGAACGATAGCTCATTCCACGCTGGGGGAGGCAGCGGAGTCGCCGCTTCATACTGAACCTTGTTGTGCTCGGTCCATATGAGGTGGAGGGTTGAGGCTATGAGAAGGATCCATAGGGTCTTGAGGGCATCTTGGTGATGGTGGCCGCGCGCATTGACCGTAAAAAGGTCAAGGTCCGAGATAGTCGACCACGAAAAGGTGACCCCGTAGCACCTCCAGGCATCGCGGTGAAACGTCCATACTGGGTGGATTTGGGGGCATGCGTGAAAGGCATGGTGTTGGGTTTCCACTCCACCACAGCCGTAAGCACAGCAGATGGCATCGGGACGCTCAAGGAGGTAGGCAAAGCGGCAGTTGACAGGCAGCATGCGGAACAGGAGGCGTAGCCACACATCGCCATGCACCGGTGGAGGCAACCGACAGGTCTGTCGGACACGCCTGACATAGTTGTGAAGGGCAGCAGTGGTGGCTCGGGCGGTGCTGGACATTGGGTGATGTGCCTCGGTAGCTGGGGCATGATAGGCCAAGGCTAGCACCATACGCCTGGCCGTAGAAGGGGTGCCGAGCTGTTGGGGTGGCAGGGGTGGGCAACTGAGTCCCTGGACCCTGGCGTAGACGCAAGTCAGATGGTTGTAAATCATCCCCGAGCGATACACTGGGGCCCATTGCATA